ATGGTGATAATCTTCTGCCAACACAAAACTGAGCAAGGAAGAAGTGAGATTGGCATGTTTCCAACTGATGGAGGGAGGGTACCTAGACTTGATAGTTTTTAAGGTCAATTTTATCATTTTCTTGGGAGAAAGTGGGTAATTGATATGTTGTTTGAAGTTGTGAGGAAGTATTCAAATGAAGGTGTGGACCTATAGGATATTAATAACACAGATTTGGTTATGATACCAAAAGTTGACAAACCTGAAAATGTTAGGCAATATAAACCTCTGTGTAATTTCTATTACAAGATGATCGCTAAAGTAATGACAAATAGAATGAAGAGTAGTATTATGCCAAAGTTGATTTTCTCAAAATCAGTGTGTCTTTGTTGAGGAGATATTGATTCAATGTAACATTATTGTGGCACATGAAGCTTTCATTACGAAGGAGAAGAAGTATGAATTAGCTTTGAAGATTGATATGAGCAAGGCATATGATAAGGTTGAGTGGGATTTTTTTGATGGAAGCTCTGCTCAAAATGGGATTTGCTGAGGTGTGGGTCAAGCAAATTATGGGATGCATTGAATCAATGAAGTACAATATAAATCTATCTGGTAAGAAACTAGCAGATATTACACTAGGTAGGGGAGTAAGACAAGGGGACCCCTTGTCTCCTTATATGTTCATAATTGTTGCTGAGGTACTCTCTAATATGGCTAGGAATCATATGTTGAAAAATGACATTACTGGTGTATGTGTTTTTTTTTTCTTTTTTGGGGATGATTCTTGTTTCTTTTAAGGGAAAATAAATAAGCTGTGAAATGTTGAGATTTTTGAGGTATATGGTAATGCATTAGGTCAACAAGCAAACCTGGATAAATCTAGTGTATTTTTTTTTCTACAAATGTACCAAATGAAGAAGTCACAAGTTTGTGAATGGTTGAGGATTAATGAGGTGGTGGATCCTAGAGGTGTACTTGGGTTACCAGTTATATAGGACAAAGCTAAAACTAATGCATTGGCTTTTATCAGAGAGAAGATGACGAGAAAGAAATAAGATTGAGCAAAATAAATGAATATACAAAGAATAAACATGAAATTGATTTACTGGAAATTCTCCTTTTTTAAAAAAAATGAGATTCCACTTTTAAAGAATATAAACAAAATACACACACAATTTGTCGAGAATATTCCAAGAAAATGGAATTGGTATCATCTACAAATAGTGATGTTAGTTAAGTCATGGATGGTATAACATTATGTGATTTCAAATACAATTTGAACATCTTAATTTTTATTTCACTATAAAAAATAAGATGAGAATAAACTGGTGAAGAATAGTGGGATACACACTTAAAATCTCAAGAATCAAGTTTATAAATACTTTTATTTTATTATGTATAATTATTAAATTTAGTTTTATTCAATAAGACACTTTTTACATCAATTCAAATGTACTCACACTTAAATATTCTAACAATGTTAACTATTCTATGCAACACAGAGGAGTAAACATCTAGTTAAATTAAAGAATAGTGCAGGAATAGAATTACCTTCAACATCCTCATCCTCGTCCTCATCCTCATCATCATCATCATCATCAAGACCACACCAGCTCTCTAAACGACACCAGCTCTCTAGTTCCATAATGTGTCATATGTCCCAAAAAATTAATTAAAACACAACTTTGTTAGTGGTTTTATAACAAACTGAAAAATGGCGAACAAACTAACAAAAGAAACTGTAATGAACCAATGTTTGGATCTAAAATTTATTTCTGTATAAATTATCGCAAGTGATGCACCTATATATGCATCTAAAATCTATTTATGAAGGTACAAACGACTTTGTTTTTGTAAAAACACAGGTGATGAGGAATGAAAATGCACAAATTGGAGCCTAGTTAATAATTAGCAATAGAACAACAATCATACCAGTTTTATTATTTTATTAGTCTGCGTTTAATATAATTACAATCATACCCTTATCATTATGAAGCACTGATGTACTTCGTTTACTTTTGAATGAAACTCCCCATTGATACCCAAAACAATTGCATGAAATTGAACGAAGGTGAGGTGGGGTGTAGGCTCACTTTTGAAAGAAGGCTCAATTTTTGTTTATGTACCAAAATAAATAAATGTACACACACACACAAAGAATAAATGTGAAATTGATTTACGGGAAATTCACTTTTTAAAAGAAATATCAGATCCACTTTTAAAGAATATAAAAGAATACCACAAACTTGTCAAGAATATTCCAACAAAATGAAATTTTTATCATCTACAAATAACGATGGTAGTTAAGTCATGGATGATATAACATTATGTAATTTCAAATACAACTTGAACATCAAAATTTTAATTTCGATCCTAAGAAAATTGATAGAAATAAGTATGTATATATATAGAAAAATCCTAGCTTATGTGTGTGTGCATATATATATTATATATATATATATCTCAAATGATTTTTTTTCTATACAAAAACTTGATCTTCCAAGGAAATGCTAATCATTCAGAACTGCCATGGATCTCAAAAGACATGATGAACAATGAATAAATTATTGAAAGAAACATAGTGTTTTCTCAAGAGTGTAAATGAATAAATTAACATGCTCACCCATTTTGTTTTAGCTTAACACTAAACAGACAAAAACCTTGTCAGACATATATGATCACTCCATTGAATTTTCAAAAATTATATTAATCTAAATTAAATAAAAAAGAATGGGGAGAAAAGCATTACCTTGATTAGCCATGGCATCCATATCAGGATCAGTGAATCGGATGTCTTCCTTATTATATTGTTGTCCTGTTACATAGATTCCGCTCTCTTTTGCATCGTACACACGGATCTTTACATAATTCCACTCACCTTCTCGAAATGCTCGTTTCATTTCTTTCTCGTCAAAGGAGGCCAATTGTAGACCATACACAACTGTATTACCAAGTTTCAATGAGGAATAATATGCTTTACAAAAGTGACATCCATTTATCGAGATTGAAAGTGGGTGGAGCCGATTATAGTCGGAATTTTGAAGAGCACCACCATAGAGAGTTGGAAAGTTGTTACGAAAGCAAAAAGAAACATCTTGTCCTTTAGTGCGCTTGTGAAACCATTCTGGGATGCTTTCCTCCCGCATACATTCAACCCAATCTCTGCAGCTACTTTTTGACAAATCAAACACCGTTTCCAGATATTCAGCCAAATGTTCCATACATTCTACAAGAAAAGTAGTTAGTTAAGACACATGTGTACACTGTCAAGATTTCAAGTTTGTGTCACAAACTCTTATATCACATAATCTTTTTTTGGTTTGCATAACTGACTTCAGAAGAAACAATGTGATGGCCATTGTTATTCTCACATGGCAGTTATTCCTATGAAACATGTTACTCATAAATTATAATTGACTTGCTGAAATCCAATACAAGTACACATAATATGAACAAATGACTAAAATTATAATGATAGTTTATTTTTCTTGTAAATGAATAAGAATCTTAGTTTAATTTCCATCCCTTTTCCTTTATCTTTTCAAATATTTTTCTATTTCTTTGTGGTAAAAATGGATCCTTGTGCATTTTAAAGTATAATGTATGTATGTAGCTTGAAAAGTATAGGTGGGTGTCATTGTCACCACCACGCGAGCTCTCTAGTTCCATAATGTGTCATATGTCACAAAAGATTAATTCAAACAATTTCGTCAGTATTGGTTTTTATATAAAAAAATAAAAAATTGGCAATCAAACCAAACCAAATTCTCTTGGAAAGAACCTGCAAAATGAACAAATTTATGTTTAGTGATGCAGCTATATATGAAACTAAATTCTAGTTTCATTTCCTCCCAGGATCTTCTCTAACATCTCAAATTTAGAGTGGCCATCTTTAGCCACTTTAAATTCATTTTTTCTAACCCTCACTCTAGGGTCGAGAATAGAATGAGATTATATATATATATATATATATATAATATTGTTACAAATTATTATTGTCCTTCTCACCCTAAAAACTGATGACATCATCATATGTAATTCAAATCTATTAATTTTATAATAAATTTATTTAATTATTATTTAATAATAAATATTGACATGTGGGATTTCTCTCATCATACCTTTCCTCAAGCAATAGATGCACATATAGTTAGACTGCAGACTATTGACATTTTTAGGGTATATAATGTAACCAAATAGAATTCATATATCACCTACGATGACAATTATTAAGACAAGCTATAATATAATGAAATTTACAAAGCAATTTAATCTGTGAAGTTTCCCCAACTGTGAAGGTATAAAATAAATACATAAATATATATATATATATATATATAGAAACTTCTTACACATAGTGCACTCCCTTCATTTCAGAAAATTTGATTTAATTTTAAATGTTTACTTGGAAAAAAGAAATGAAGTGCTTTAGTCAAGTAACATAAAATTTTAATGCAATTAATCTATTCATATATGGCATATGTACCTTGGTCAATATTCAGGGAATCCAAATTTAAGGGACCAGTGAATCGGATATCTTCCATGTTACAATGTTGTCTTATCATATAAATTCCACTCTCCTTTACACCACCCAAATCCGAAGAATGCTGCCGGATTGAAATCTCTGCATTATTCCACACACCACCTTTCAATACTTGTCTCCTTTCATAATCTTTGTCCCGATCCGGTATACAGAGAAATATAGAGTCCTCTTTAATTAGGGAAATATTGTGAAATACACGCCCGTTGATTCGCACATTTACTAGTATTCCATTAATGCGCATCCCAAAGTCGAAATCGCATTCATAATCAGCACTTGGTGTGAGAAGAGCACAACAACAAAAAGTTGGAATGACATTACGAAACCAAAAAGAAATAGATCCTCCTTTCTTACAGACATCCATCCATTCTGGGATAATTGATCCCAGCATGACAAAGTTTTTAGAGCAACAAGCCCCATGTTTTCTTATTCCAGCCCCAATTACTTCCTGTTAAACAAAAGAAATGTGTGTGTGAGAGAGTATATAGGAGAGTCTCAAATAATTAATGGATGTGTAAATATAAAAAAAGAAATTCCAAAGACAGAAAAATTAATGACCTTACTCAACAATAAGCTTCTCGACTCTAAACTCAACGATACGCAATTTTGTGCAACCAACCATTCCAAGTTTGGTGGAATCCCTTCCACTTCTTGCAGATGCTTGCACTCACTTAACCAAAATTCCTCTAAAGACATGCATTCTTTTATGCATGCAGGCAGTTTTTCTATCCCACTACCCCACACATCCAGTGTTCTTAGTGGCACTTTCGGTAGTATTTCTGGAAAGTACTTCAAGCTTGAGCATTGTGAAAGATCGAGCGATTTAAGACACGGTGACTTGATACAATGGGGAAATGTTTTAAGTTTGGCACATTTTTCCACATTCAAGACTTCAAGTCTTTCTAATTCTCCAACCGAATCATCAACGGCAATTAAATTCTTGCATCCATGAAGATTTAATTTCTTTAAATTTGAGATGCCAGATAAATCAGATATTTGTGTAATATTTTGGCATTCTTTGAGATTCAAAACACTTAGATTCAAGGCCATCTGCAGAAGATAAAACCATAAAAAATTGTCCAATTAAAGAAATCAACAATCATCAAATAGAGGGCTACTTATATCCAAATAAATGCACATAATATGAGGTCCTTACCTTGAATTCCACCGACTTTAAGCGACTATGTGGCACATTCATTACAAAAAGTTCCCTTGCACGAAAGTTGGGTGGCAGAGATGATGAAGGATATTCTTCCCATTTTAGCACTTTTAAACTATTGGGTAGATATTTGGGGCCTTCTGAAAACTTTAAATTCTTAAAACAAAGAATTTTGAGATTTTTCATTTTCTCAAAGGCTTTTCCGTCCCAAATTACTTCTCTACATTTGGACAAATTTTCTGAAGCTATCATCCTAACTTTATTTGTGCCCTTCAACAAAAGTAAGTAAATAAATAATAAAATTAGAACAGGGAATAAAAAGATGTCCTAACAAATTATCAGCGACATCCTAAACATGGCAAATAATAAACATAATACATTATTAGCTACACACTTGTCTTTTCTTTTTTATGAATTCTTTAATATAATTTCAATTTTATGTATTCATTCTAAGCCAACATAAATCAATCGTTAAATAACTGCTGATAATGTTAAGGGAAAACACAATCAACGGTCCCTATAATTTCATTAGATTTTGATTTTAGTCTGATAAAACAATTATAGGAAAGGGAGAATGACAATATAAAGTCTCAAAATAGATAATTTATAACAGTTATGTCTCTCACAAAATTTTTTAAAATATAAATTGCAGATATTGATTCAAATAGTTGTAAATAGAAATCCTAATTCCAAATTGAAAGTTATCTTTAGAATTTAAATATCTTATTTATAATTAAAACTCTTGAATTTATAACTGTCTGAACATATATTTACATTTAATTTTATAAAAAAATTTGTTGAGGATCTAACTATCAAAAATTTATTATTTTGGGACTTTAACGTCATTATCCTTCAGAGGAAGGATTATTTTCATAATAGAAATTAAAAACACGTGGTTAAAAACACGACATAATGTTATCCATTGATCAAGTATATCTTTTTTGACATGGTAACTTTTTAATAAAAAAATCTCAAAAACCATTTCATCCGACATAATCTTGATTTCAAATTTTTTGAAAAAAATATTATATTAAAGTAAAAAGATTAAAGTACAATAACAGTGTGAGAGGACCAACACCAGAAACTAGAAGTCGAAAAGAAATAATACTCATGCAATTGTTGGAAATATATAGCGTAAGTTAACGGCTTAATAGAAAATAGGGAAAATAAATGTAAATTTCATGAACTGTAATTCCTTCAAAAAAAAATGGTGAAAAGAACAATAAAATTATAAGGCAAAAATGGGGGGAAAATTTATCTGTCCATATGATATATGTTTACTGTGTTATTCTTTATAACAGGAACAACTTATGAGGGGGAAAATTAAATCTCATAAATAGTGATGCATCCAAAATTGAAGAAATTATGCAAGGAACAATAAGATTATTAATAAAAGAAGAAAGAAAAAACATATCCCAATTAGTGTTACTCATAGTTCCTCCAAATCATGAACCAGTGGAAAACAAAATCAAGAAACAAGGAGGAAAATAATAATGAAGTCCCAATCAAAATTTTCATACTGTTACGAAACAAAACTAAAATTTATATGAATCAAAAGCCCTTCATTATTAGATATTTGAATTTTAGATTTTCATTGGCTGTATTTTACTATTTTAGCTCTATTATTTAGAAAGCATTCTTTAATTATGATTTCAAGTTTATGAATTTTTTTTTTCTAATCAAGCCAATGAAAATCTTATTGTTAAATGAATACAACCATTACGACATATCGTAAAACAAAGAAAAAATATTTTCTTAATTGAAATCAAAACAAGTATGATATTTTAAATAGAGGAAACAAATTAAACTTCAAAAAATAGGTCCTGTCAGTCTTACTACTTACAAAGTCTTTCTTCCTTTGTAAGTTTTCTCGAAAACCAATCCATTTAGCATAGGTGACATGAAGAATATAATAGTAAACCAGATCCTTGAGCCAAAAAGAAAAGAATGCAGAGGCCTGTTTCGTTTCTGTTTTAAAAAATTATTTTGTTTTAAAAATAAAAAATTTAAAATTTATTTAAGTTAGCATTTTAAATTTAATTGTTTTTAAAATTGGTCTCATTTAAAAAAAATAGAAAGATCTTAAAGTTGTTTTTATTTTATTTTTTCTTATTTTTAGGACATATGACATTTGATTATTGAAAAATATAGATAGCTTAATCAAATTCTATCATAAAAACCACTATTAATTGCCTACAACTATCAATATCCACTTTTTTTTAATTCTAAAACTATTTTTAAATTAATATAACCAAACAGACTTTTATTTTTTTTAAAAAAAACAATTCTAAAAACTGTATTACAAAATAGTTTCTAAAAATAAAAAAATAAAAATAGAAACCAAACAAGTCCTAAATAATCCAAATTAGTGCTACTTACTGTATTTTCTTCCAAAACTTGAACAATATCTTGATTGAGCCATAATCTGGTGCGTTTTTCAGGCCTGTTTGGCGATTCTTGATGAACAATTTGTCTTCCCATATCTTGTATTAAATCGTGCATCCTAATACGATCAACCTCAGTCTTAATGAGGCATTTGTCTTCCAACACACTAATACTATAGTGTGGATCAAGATTGTGAACACGTTCCTCCATTTCTTTGACATAGTTCAATGATCTTCCTTTGAAGAGTTCATTGAAGAAGCAAGCAATATCAAGGAAAATTTCTTTTTCAAATAGTTCCAAGCCATCATAGCTTACTTTCAATATTTGATGAATTTTTTTATTGGGAATTCTTTCATATTGATTTAATGCAGATTCCCACTCCCTTACTGTCTTACCTTGCAAGTTAGAGCCTATAACTTCTAGTGCTAAGGGAAGACCTTGTGCATAATGCATCAAATTTTTGACAACTTCCTTGTGACTTGCAGGAACTTGCATACTTCTAAAGGCTTTCCCACTTAATAATTCAAGAGATTCTTTATCATTCAATGCCTCCATCTCATATTTTCTCTTAATTCCATGTTTTGCAAGTAACTGCATGTCCCTCGTCGTAATAATGATCCTACTGCCAGCGCCAAACCAATCACAATTAGCAGCTAATTTTTGCAATTGCTCATGCTCATCAACATTATCAAGAATCAAAAGGATTTTCTTTCGTTTGAGCCTCCTTTTTATAAGTTCAGCTCCTTTGTTTACATCTTCGATTTTCATTTCCACTCCTAAAATCTCTGAAAGCATTATCTCTTGCATTCTTTCTAAGCTACTTGAGTTTGCTTTAATATCATGGAGAAAGCATAGACTTTCAAATTTATCTGCCAATGAGTGATACATGACACGTGCTATAGTTGTTTTTACCTATACCCCCAATTCCATAAATTCCGAACATGATGACCTCTTCTTTTGATCTAAGTTGTAATTGAGGTTTTATTTGTCGCAATCTATGGTCTATTCCAACAAGATAATCATCAACATTAAACGAGAGACTACTATTGATTTTGATGAAGATTTCTTTCACAATCTCTGCAATTATCTCACATTCATATAAACCATGCCTGACAAATTACAAAAAAATAAAATGAGAGAAATCACAATATAATAGATTCATGCTTACTCTGCAAGTAATTCATAATAATTTTCTTATAATCTAATATGAAGCTGCGTAAAAGAAAAATCAAAGATCAATGGTGCCAATTACCCAGGTGTGAAATGTTTGCCGGAGATATTTGCCACGTCACGTAGTGCAGCCTTCCAATTTTCCATCTTGTTCTCATCAGCTCTGTTTTTACTTTTATATTTATCTAAAGCTCGTGCATAGTTTCCTTTTTGATGTCGCACTTCTGATGGCTCCACATCATAAAATATTGGCCAAATTCGTCGTCCATCTCTCTTAGAACATTGATGGATGTGGACAAGTTCATCAAGACAAAATCTTGAGGTCGCATAGTCTTTAGAAAACACACAGATGAACATCCTAGATTCTTCGATTGCTTCATGAAGTTTTGGATCAATTTCATCGCCCATTCTTATTTCCCTATCATCAAAGAAGGTGTGAATTCCCTTTTCATCTAGAGCTTTATACAGATTTCCAGTAAAGCCATAACGAGTATCTCCTCCTCTAAAATTGATAAAGACATCATAATTCCAATGATCATGGATGGGAGATGATGTTGATGCTTGTGTTGTCATGATAGCTTGTCCTGGAAAAATGAAACCAAGATATCAAAGCTTCTCCAAAATTGAGATATGAACGAAGCAGCTTGTAAAAAGAAAAAAAAAAGAGTTTGCTTACAGATCTGAATGAGTTTACTTACTGTGAAAACCTAAATGAAGTAGATGTGAGGCATAATAATGCAGCAATAGGAACTAACAAGAACAAAGATGGAGTCCGCAATTGCTTTTCTTCATCCCAATCGTCAGGAAAAGTTGAAGCAATGGAAAGATAGTGAATACGCAGAAGACAAGTTTATTTATACTGACCATTTAAACTATCTCGCCGACAAGAATATAAATTAATTTATTATTAATTATAATGGTAAGAAGGAGTGGATGACTAGCAAGGAGGGTGAGGACCAAGTCAATAAAGTAATAAGAATGGCAGGAAAGTGAAAGTGAGGTTGCAGACTCGTGATTAGGGAAACATACAGGTGGGACCCATCATGAAATTTTAAGATTTTAAGCAATCAGAGCAGTCAAATCACTATTGAAAGAGTAATGATTATTAACTAATTGAAAAATTAATTTAACTATTTATTAGTTCAACTCTGTGGATTGATGAGGATTTTCATAATATATTTTTAAGTATTTATTTTTATTTTTAAGTATTTAAAATTTTATTAACTCTTTATAAGAATAAGTATTTTTTTACCAAAATAATTAAAATAACTATAGTACTATTTTTTCAAATTAAAAAATTAGAATTGAGGGAAACATGAACCATCTATATCTCTGTATATGCATTGGATGTATATTCCAATTACAACATTACAACCTACAGGGGAAGAAAACGAGTAAGATGTTCTTCCCGTTCTTTATTTTTTTTATGGAAAAAGATACAAATTGCAATCCCCTGATATTGATATTGGAGAAAACTTTATAATAAGTTTGGCCTTAGAAAGTGGAAATTTTTGGGAGGTGGATGCTATCCTAATTCTCTTTTTCTTTTCCTTCTCATCTTTACTCTTAAATAATAAAATAAATAAATAGTTCAGATTTAATTGTTTTTTGCCAACAAATTTAATTGTTTTATAAAATAATTATCATATAAAAAATAACTTTAAAGTGTTAAAATTTGACCTGCACAGTTTATAGTTGCATACTGTTATTAAAATTTTTATAAAATAAATATTTTATTTATTTTTTTATTTTATTACAATTATAAATTTTGACAGGATAAATTTTAGCAATTTAAAATTAATTTTTTATTTTATTGCTAGAATTCTGTTAAAATTTTATAATTTAAAATTTAAATTATAAAATATATAATCATGTTAAATAAATATGGCAAAGAATTTTTCTTTGCATGAAAATTCTGATAAAGTGTGAAATAGTACATGAAACAGCTGTCATGTACGGATACTTTTCGTCCTTTATTCAATGAAAAAATTACTTCTTCAATCTTTATATATAAAATATTTTTAATTAAATCATATAAATTAATAAAAATTATTTATCTATTTAAAAGCATAATAATATTTTAATTTTATCCCTTATTATTATAAATAAAAAATAATTTTTTTAAAATAAATTTATGATTACTTTTTTTCTTCTTTTCCCTTATAATAAAGGTATAATATTACATTATTAAAAAGTATGCTAACAATTTATTATATTTATAAAAATAAAGTTATAAAAAAACTTCTCATGCATAGGAATGGAAGAAGTAAAAGAGATGCATAGAGCACCAAAAATTAAATCAGAACCATTGAGATAAAATTTTGATTTTAATAAATCTAAAATATGAAATAGAAATAAAAATAAAAATTTAAGCTACCAATATTAAATTTAAATGATTCAAATATAATGATGATGAGCACCCAATTAATGTGCTTTCGCTTAGGCTTACATAATACTTCCTCAAGTCCCTATTAAACACCTCACCAAAAAAAAAAACAAATTGCAATCCCAAGATATTAATATTGGGAAAAACTTTATATTAAATTTGGCCATAGTGGAAATTTTTGTGACTTTCACTTTACATGAAATTTCTTAAAAGTGAGAAATAGTACATCAAACAGTTGTCATATATGGAAAGTGAGGGTGAAGGAGGGTGAGGGGCAAGTCAATAAAGTAATGACAATGGCAGATGGGCAGGAAAGTGAGGTTGAGAACATCTCATATTATTAAATGAGTTAAGACACTAACTTAATCGTTCTCTAATTTGGCTACTCGATAATAGGATAGGTATTTTTTTTTTCCTGTCAAAATAATAAGAATAAGTATGGTATAATTTTTTTTTCAAATTAAAAATTAGAATTGAAGGAAACCATCAATATCACTGTATATGTAAAGTGGACATATATTCCAATTTATTATTCAATAACACATACAAGATTACAACCTACAGGGAAGAAAACGAGGAAAATGCTCTTCCTTTTTTTCTTTTTTCTTTTTTTTGAAAAAATATAAATTGAAATCCTTAATACTGGAGAAGACTTTACACTAAGTTTGGCCATAGAATGAAAAGTGGAAATTTTTGTGAATTTCACTTGGCGTGAAAATTCTGAAAAAGTAAGAAATAATACGTGAAACAGCCGCCATGTACGAATACTTTTTACCCCAATTCGGGAATTGGTTGCAATGCACAAGTTAGAACAGGAAATTTAGCTAGTCTAAGTAAATTTGAAAAAATTTAAAGATGAGCTTGATAAAATTATAAATGCTTAAATGTTTGGGGCTATAAAAAATTTAGATCAAGCCTAATTAGATTTAAGCTTGGTCTGAATATTTGAATAACAAATTTCTTTTATAAAAAATAGGGAAAATAGTTATGAAAGACCTCTAGCGAAAATTTATATCAGTTAGAGACTACTTGTTATCAAAATTTGAATGAAAAAAAAAATCTGAATAGACTGTTGTTAATTTAGAATAAATTATTATTAAAACCTGAATGGATAATTGTTGATAAAAGACTAACTCGAATTGATAAGTATCAATTCGGGTTTTGACATTAAGTAATCCTTACTGATATAAATTTTCCCTAATGATCCTTGGTTGATGTTTTCCCTAAAAAATATATAATCTATCAAATATTAATTAATCCTTGAAATTTTTATACTAAGAAATCATATATTTGAGTTCATTAATGTAAATATTTTCTAAAAAATAAAAAATATTCAATTTTTTTATATTTTTATTATTTTTAACCTATAAAATATCTCAAACATATTTAAAATGTATTTTAATCTTGATTTTAAAATTTTAAAATTGTATCTTCTACATTTCTTGATATCTCAAAAGTATTCTTTACATTTTTTATAATATAAAAATAATTAAGGGCCATTCAGGTATTTGAGTTGACTTGAAAAGATTAGAGCCAACCTTGATTATTTGAGATTTTGTTATAAGTTCAATTTATTTGACTTAAGACAAATAAGCTCAGTTGAATTGAGCATTCTTGAACTAAACTCTCCCCACTTAAATTGCCAGCTCTAAGCACTATAATACACATCGTTCTTTTCAGCTTGGGTACTCATCATTCTATAATGCATCTCGAAGCAATGATAGGTTATCAAATCATTAATTTGACCTTGTTTAGAAAAAAATTCATATTTAAATAAAAAATTTTAAATTATATTACATTTTTAGATTGACTTCTACCATTACCCTCCAGAAATGAAAAGCGGACAGAAATTTCGTGAGCCCTTTACTTTTAGTCAAGCTGACATCACTTTGCAAATTGTAAGAAAATTCTGGGAACGTGAGAAACACGCCCAGAACCACAAGTAAAATACTCGCAAGTCGCAATCATCAACTCTAAATCAAGAAAATAAAAGGGACAATTATTACTTAAGGTATAAGAAAAGCTCTTAAAATTGTCAAGTCCTATAAAACAATTGAAGTGAAAGTGGTATGCATGTAACAAATTCAATATAGTAGCTAATGAATGTATGAAGTAGAAAATTTGGGATATATATCACTTAATGGTAATTTATTATTAAACGATATCACTATACACACACACACTTCTAATCTTATATATAATTGATCTTCTAGAAAAAATATTGTAATCTTTTGTATAATTAAGTTACTTTATACATAAAGGAATATAATTAATTACTCCCTCCGTTAAAAAATATAAAGTATTTTTTTATAAGTTGAATGTTGAAAAATATAAGGTATTTTTAGTTTGTCAAAGTATAATCATTATCTTTTTTCAAAAGTGCCCCTATTAGTAGTAACTTTATATTTATTACAAATATTTAATAGGATTAAATATGAAAAGATGAAGTTACTTTAAAAATAGGTAACTACTTTATTATGGAGTGAAATTTAGTTAAAAATACCTTATATTTTTGAACCAAGTGATTACTTTCTTTTGGTTTTATCTTTTTACAATTTTTTGATGAGTAGATAGTTAAAAATTAGGTGAAAGAGAAATTGTTTTTAAAAATAATGCATTTAGTAAATGTAAATTAATATTTTTCTTTTGTAAATATCTATGAGAATAGGAGAAAAAGCTGCCCTGTTATAAACTACAACTTGGTTCTTAAAAATAGTTAAATGAAACCTTAATCTCTTGAAAAAAAAATCATACATATTTTAATTATACCATATTTTAATCTCTTGGGTCTGCGACTATTTTCCTGTTCATTGATCTCCGTGGTTGAATGACTTCAAGCCAAATGGCCGTGTACGTAGATTCGACATATCGAACTTCAGTTCCTTGTGTGTTTCTATTAATGTCTCAATATTAGGTGGGAAAAAATTAGATGTGTGAAAGGAAATTTCCCTTTTGAACTCAACAATTGGGGCATTTTGATATCCCTGACTTGCTGATACCTTGTTTCCTGGCTTGGAGATAGTAGGATTTTCGTAAAGAGCTTGCGACCTCAATATTAGTTGCTGTATTTTCTATCAAACAAATTTTCTCTTTTTCAAGCATATTATTGACATGTAAATAAAATGGGAACGCTTGTTCATTAGTCAACAAAGCTGTAAAATGGGACACTTTATTCTATGACGTATTTGCTTCTCGTGATTGCAATTGTCACTCTAAGAAGTTTCAGAGAAATTGCTGCTGTATAATTGAAAGGCTGTCCAAAGCAATTGAATTAAAAAAAATTATTTTATAATTTAGTATGTGTGTGTTTCGTATTGAATAAATTATCATCAATGCTTATGTCTTATAAAATTTTCTACTTTTTATTTAAAGTTTAGAAATTTATTATTGGTATCATTATGAAGATATTTATTGTTATTAGGTTGTTATCGTATTAATGGAGTTAAACTGATATCAAAAGTCTCACTTAAAATTAAGTTAG